GGAAGGGGAGAAAAGACGGGGTGGAGTAGGCAGGGATCTGTAATAATCCTTCTTACAGATATAAAGAGAGAAATGAAGGGGATGGGCAAAAAAGAAAATACTTAGGAAGGTAATCCTTTTTCAGCAGTGGAAGATGAGTATTTAAAACTTGCAATAAAAGAGTGAATTATTTCACCTTACCTATATGAAACTGCCATTGGGGCATATTGTCGTCTGACTGTACAAGATGCACAAAGGCGAGTCTCTGAGCATTGAGAGCGGAATGCACTGAAGAGTGTGGCAAGACGAATGCTTGTGCACACACCACATGAGGACACTTCAGACAATGTCCCTGCCCCTTGCCCTGACAGGCTTTCACGGCAGGCAATGAACAGCCTGCTGCTAGCGTTTAGGCTTCAGCAATGCTAACATGGTGTGGGGCCTTCGAGTTAGAGCAGGAGTGACTTCTACAAGGCAGCTGGACAAAATGCTACAGTATTTAACCAAAGAGCAATTAAATATGCACTTCTGTTCATATGAAAGCTTCTTTATAAGCAAGAGTACGTATTTGTGCTTTCCCTGTGCCTGGTTTTGGAGAGGTGCACTGTGCAAAGAGGAGACATGCTTCCTCGCACCAAAATTTCCTTTTTGCTGTTGTATGTTGTGGACCCTCAAGCAAGTGACTTTGCAGCTTTGTCCCACAAACATGGTACAGATGTTTATCACTGAGCACTTGATAGATTAATTCAAATGGGAGAAGCAGGAACTCAGAAGAATGAAATCTTACTGATAAATATTTTACAGCATTACAGACTGTAACATATATCTTCAGATGCCATTTGCCAGAATTGCTTACAGGTGATAGGTACGTCAATTAGTATAGTACTCCTATAGTACTCCTGGCAACCTGAGAAACATAGATTGGAATTGGTGGGCTGTGTATTTTCCATCTGTAGTGCAGCTCGCTGCTGTTATTTCCTTGTAACAAACATCTGTTCCAAGATGAAAGCACCTATAAATGCCTCAGTGTCTCCAAAATTACAAGAGGTTAGTTCGTTAAACATTGAATCTATGTAAACATATACAAGCTTCATGCAAGACAGATCTGAGTATGGACAGATTATTCTATCATAGCATTACTATTAGTCACTGCTCTGCACGAAAACTTCAAGAAATTCTCAGATGTATTGTCCTAGGTAAAATATGTTATATGAAGGTCAGTTCACTCAGAGGCTCATACTTTTAGAAATAAAACTGATTCCTAAAGAAAGGAAGCATTTAAACAGTGTCATGACAATATGGCTTATTCAATTAGTAACTACCTGGTCTATTTTTAATTGTTCATGTACTTCTGCAAACTCAGCCTAGGCCAGCCATGAGGGAAAACAGCTACCAGCTGCTGGAAGCTGCACAGCCTGCACAGGACGGACATAATCCTCCCAGCCGATGGATGGGTTCTCAGATCAGATCACCACAGATGGCACAACTGTGTGCCCATGACTGACCTCCTCGTCACTCATAGCAGAGAGGCCAAGGGCATGTTTCTGAACTACTCTCTTACCCCTAAAGGTGGTCTCTCCAGGTCAGGGTTGAGGCACATTGGTGGGGCAATGTGGGGAAGTTTGCACTGCTGCTGCCCATGCTGTACCTGCTCTATAAATAAATAGAGGACTTTAGTCTCCAGGACTGTCAGTTTGGCACCTTCCATGTGCACAAAAGACACGTTTTTGTTTTTGTTTTTTTTTTATTTGTTTAGAAACAATCCCCAAAAAGTTATATGCAAAGCTTAGTATGGTGAATCAAAATAAATCATATTTATTGCATGAGAGCACCTAAAATCCCACAACTTCCACCTGCTCTCTCTTTCCTTTGTGTTTTCTACTTTTAATTATGATAAGAATAAAAGTTATGGACCTCTTTCGGTGTTTCTTGATGACAACGGTTGCTGTTCCACCACAACTCCAACGCTGCCACCAAGCATGCAAGAAGAAGGCCTATTGCTAAAATGCAGAAAACGCCTGCAAAACTGTGAAGCTTAAGTGCCTTCCCATCTGTCTGTGCATTGGTATGGCTATTCAGGTCACAACGTCCCATCCGTGGCCACCATTTCTGCTTAAGAACATCCAAATCTCCGCTTTCTTGCAACTCTAGGATCCTGCAGAAATTTCAAAAGACAAGTATTATTTTTAATGATGCTTTTTCCACAGTTTTATTTGGTCTTTTCTGTATGCTGCATAACTCTTAACTACCATTCCACAACTGAAAACCATCCCACTGCCACCACCGTGTAGTATTGTTCATCTGAAACTCCTTTATACCAGGGTTTCTTTCTACTCACAGCAACAAGTAAACTCCACTGAAAACTTCAGAGAAAGAAAGACTGTCAAAAATTCCATTGCAATGCAAGAAGAATTTCCAAGGGAAATCACTATATTCCAGTTAGTCATGGCTGGTCTGGCTACATTCAGCTGCAACAGCTGCTCCCTCCAGCAAAACGCTCAACCGACTCCACTGCTGCTCCCACAATAATTTGAAAATCATGTGAGACTAAACATACTACCACTGTTTGTGTGCCATTTAATACAAATCTGTTTAAGCAGCAACCAACTCATTTACTTCAGCAAATGTAGTTTATTTAAAAGGATTTTACTTCAGTACTGTTACTTCATGCCCGAATTACTGTGTTAACAGTTGCTAATTAATCATTGTTTTGCCTCTTGTGAAGTGTCCCTTCTCTCCATGAATGATTCATTTTGGATTTGGTTTGATAACTGTTTTAGCTGTTTACTAACAATCTTTTCTCTTGAGGCAGCTTTGTCTCTGGTTATGCAGCTGGAGTTTCACTCCTTTTTATAAAGAGGGAGCAAGATGAGGAAGTCTTGCTTCAGCTCCCTGCCTGGAGTGGAGCACCCGCTCACCTTCTGCTAAGGTCACACATGCCAGCACAACTGCATGTCTTCATTTCAGTGTACACATTCACATGGGAAAGATATTCCTAGCTGATAGCTCAGAGAGCACTAAATGGCATAATCTTATAGTCTCACAGTCTTGGCAATCCCATGCAACACCCAGCAGTTCTTGCTTTCCCGTACCATTGTGAGGCTTTGACCTGTCTCTCCACCCTAAAGGATAAACCAGGGTATTATTACTTGCTTACTGTAGGGAGCAACACATTGCTTCATAGCTTGCAAAACGCAGCATGAATCAAAGATCTCTTTTCAATCTCTCCTCTAGCTCATACAAAGCTCTGAGGACATCAGTCCTTTTTTCTGCCTGAGGCAGTGCTGCCTGGAGGTGTGAGGCCACAGACCACCTCCAGTCCCCTTCTCCCTAAGCAGATGTACACTGAGCAGAAGTAGGAGCTTTGTTGAAGCTGGAACCCATAACCTCTCTGCTGTCACTTATTAACTGTCATTTCTTCAATAATTGCCAGAATTAATGTGAACTACAAATGGGATGCCTTGTTGGTTGTAGAGAGGAATCCTATAAAATGAGCTTTGTTTCAGTTTACCTCTGAGAGAAGAGATCTCTGTAGGGGCTTCCATGCTGGAGTGCTATTCCATATCCTTTGCTGCTGATGCTGTTTCCAATGACTGTCACCGAGCATTCATCATCCGTCAGTGCAGCATATTCCACCACTGTCACATCCCACAGGAAAGCATAGTTTCCCTTCTTTGCCTGTAAATACATCATGAACACAACAAAATCTAAACTAAACTACATTTCTAGGTAGGACAAAAACCGAGCAAACAAACAAACCCTGAGCTTGTCATTACTCCATGGTGGTATTTCATTAGGTCACAGTTTATCTGTAGACCTCCAACATCTTAATACATTCTAATTCTCTTCCCTCCCAACAGGATCTCATTTACATCAAACCTCCCTAAAATGTCTTCCATTTTTAACAGGATTACATAGGACAACATAGCCAACTGTAAGTGTAGGCAAGGATTACATAACAGGTAATTAATTATAAATGAAAGTTATTGCCTTAGCTGACAAAATTTCATGTAGGTTTTGTAGGAGACATGGATTAGCAGGAGTGTGACCATTTCCATACGTTCATGTAACTAGACCTGTACCGTATGAGAACTAAGTGTTGCTTCCCAGTCATCACACTCACCAAAATGGTAACTTTACAGCTTTCCTCATATCAATGTGTAAATAAACAAAGCCCCTTCCAAGAGCTATGTTAGTCCTGTAACAAAAGGCATGATCTGAGCTTGAAGAGTTCCCTCTTTTCTTCACAGGTAAGAAGAGACTCTGGCATCTCTTATCTCATTTTTGGGACACATATTATTTTATTTTATCACACACCCATGCAGATGTCCTTAAATGTCAGCCTTAATTGGGATTCACAGCAATGCCTGCACACGGTGCATACGATGAATGTAAATCACCTTACTTAACATAAGATGTAAGAAACATCTCTGGATAGGGATTCAGTAAAGAAAAACGTAATCATTTTGTTTGGTTAAAGTAATCATTGGTTTCCTAATATATTTAAGTAGTATGTTTTTAAGTCTCTAGTGAACATACAGAGCACAAGGGAACAGATGGGCTGGAATATGTAATGCAGACAAATGAGCAGTCATGAATGCAGACTTCCAAGACTTGTGGTTGTTTTGTTTGGTTAGTTTTGGGGGTTTTTTTGTTTGTTTGTTTGTTTTAAGCTTCAGGTGATTTCAGATCTTTCTTTAGGTCAGAACAAAGCAAGGCAGGGAGATGAAGTACTGCATAAATTTCTTTATGGGAACAGGATCACCGAGCTCCTCAAGCAAATGACTGCAGCTCTGACATGGAATTAGCTCATCCTTCTGCATATCTTCCACTTTTGTGTAAGCTCAGTTTTGAATTCACCTGTAAGCCTATAAGACTCCCTTAGTTATTATATTGTATTGGATTGCTCAGTTGAGCAATTAAGCTGATTTTACTTCACCATGCTTTGATATAAACCATAGCATTCTGAAGTCCCTGACAGTTGGTTAAACATGACAATCAATCAAATGAGTGAGTTACCCTCTAGTGGGTAGCATACAGAGAAGCAAAGATTAAAAGGATGTCGTCCTGATTTTCTGTAAGCTTCTTGCCACAATCCACCTCTTTCCCCCCCTTCCCTTTTATCTGCATCAAGGCAACCAAAGATCCCCAAATTAATTTGCTTCTGAGTTAAACCAGAGCCACAGGACTCTACTGGTAAAATCATACATTGATGTAGATGACACAACTTATTAAGCTAACATGTTCATAAAAATTTCTCTCACTTAAATTTCACTATGTGAAACCACACACATCTGCATTGTAATACTATACCTGTCTGTTTACCTAAACTGGTAATGGTGGTGCAAAGGAGAAAAGAACAAACAAATCACTCTTTACTGTATGTGACAGCCAAAGAAGGCTTCATAACCTATCAGCACAAGGATGCGTGAAAAATTAAGGATGGCAAGGGAGTGATTCCTCAAGGCATCTAGCCTATATTCAGCCAGAAACCTACATTCTTGGAAGCCTAAAATGTGCTTTTCAAAGGTATTTTCTGAATGATCATGCACCCATAACTAACTGGATTGTTAGTGGCAAATCTCTGCATCTTACCCTCTGCGTTTCCTCTGATGGGCTTTAACAATTCACATTTTATGCTTTCACATCTGTGATGGTGCTGATAGGCCTCCTACCTGGCTGGAGACAACAGGCAATGGGCATGAGTCCCACTGGTGTTCCTAGCAGGGAAGGACCATCAAAAGCCCTATTTTTGCACATCTCAGGCCGGTTTTGTTCTATGATAAATAGAACCTATGACAGAAAACCGTCCAAGTTCAAGTGTGTTGTACCAAAGACAACAGTATTTGTTCCTGTACACAGAATTTATCCAAAATCTCTGCTATTAGAGAACAAAAACTTGCCTGATGGATGTACAGAAAGAGGAGACCCAGAAAAGATTTGGCCTGAATCACTGTGCTAAAAAATGTCTTGCATTTTTCTAGATTTTATTTTTTTTTGTGTGTGTGTGTGCTTGTTTGTTTGTTTGAAATAGTTGCATCTTTTTTTTTGTTTCAGAATTTCTCTGTAAAGCTTCCTTTCAAATTTATAATTTACAAAAGAAGAACACTGACAACAAGTCATCCATTCCTCATCTTTTTCTTAGTAATACTTGAGGAACACAGTCTTCCTCAAATATTCAATTTCAATTTATAAGGCAATGTCTAGAGAAAAAACACATTATTGATTCTACTTTTCAAGACTTAGTTTTCTGTATGTTACTTCATATAGAAGAGCTTTGTACACTGACTTTCAATGTTAGACAGCAGATCATTTGACAAGGTCTGCTTCTGCATTTGCAATGTTGCTATCCCAAGTTTTGACCTACAACTGTAAGTGGTCAATAACCAAAGTCTACCAGGTCTCTTCATATCAATTTTGTATTTTTTATTATATAAATCATTCTATCCAGTACCATCACATCTGTAAAGCATTATTTCTCTAACAGCCTGATAATTTTAGCATAAGCAGGAATCTGAGTTTTAACTCTTAGGTATGCACACTTCTCAACTCCCAGAAATACTGGATGTAAGACTGCTTTCCTTCTCTGATTGCCAAAACCAGAATCTCCAATGATCCCTTTTTCCTAAGGGAAAATTTGTTTCTTCCAAAACTTCTTCCACTAGCATAATTTTCTTCTCTAAAGAAATGTTCATTGCATGGAAAGCTTCCTTATGATCAAATGTTTAGTTGCAGTCTAAATTCAGCATCCTTCACATCCCTGTAATATCTGTTGTGACAGCTAAGCAGTATAATTTGTTCAATTCAATGAAAAAATGACAAACTTTGAAAAACATACATAAAAGACACACAAACAAACACATATGTGTTTGAGATATGTTTACTTTTTATATACCTTCACTAAGGAAGCAGTAAAAGCCGAATAAAATCAAACTGACACTTATTTTCAATCAAAAATCAACCCAAAACTTTCAAAAAGTAGTTTAAACTTTTCATTTTTGTCACACATGTGTGCACATGTGCATACCCCTTAGCTTCCAGGCCAGAGGGGTACCGGAGGCAGGAAGACTAAGAACTACAGGAAACACCTGGCGCTGCCCTGTGGGATGTATGAGCAGGAAACTTATCAAGGCTTCCTGGGTGCATGTGACACAGATGTACCTACCCTACAACCGAGTCCTGACCACAGTGCAGCAAAGATCCATATCCTTGGGCTCTTGCATTCACAGCTCAGCCATCTAAAGCTTGCATTGTATGTTTTCAGGGTCCAAAATAGAATAAAAATCTTCTAGTGATCAGATATCATTGCAAATATAATATATAGAGATGGTAAAAGGGAATGTGGAAAATACCAGCCATGAATAGGTGAGATAACTTGAATAAAGAATGACTGAAATGAAACACAGAATAATAAGCTAAAATGTATACTTTAGACTTTTAATTTGCTTTCATATTTTGCTCCCTTGCTATGGCCCTATTGCTACTCTCAGCACACAGACATATTGCAGAACAAAACATAGCTTGGTTAAGCTTTCAAAAACCTCTTTAACAGAAATTCAGCCAAAGCAGCACTCATTTATTACACCCAGGTGGAACTGCTGTGGTGGTTTACACCAAAGACACCAGATTTATCTTTGGCTGAAGAGGTTTAAGAAAGGAGATTTAAGAAAAAAAGAGCCCCTTAGAGAAAACTTACATTAAAAATATTTCTTCTTCCCAATCATAAAAAATTAAAAGGCCAAGGAATATTGCCTCCTACATAAAAGAAGGACCACAAAGAGAATAGTAATACTTCAGACAAGCAGTAAGCAACCTCATAATGTCAGTCTTCAACATGAAGGGAGACGGAAGAATATTGTTCAAAGGATCCTGGTTTACTGATGGTAAAATGATGGTTTTGCAAAGAAAGCATGGTAAGAAATAATAATAACTTGAAAAAAGGTGAATTTCAGATTAATCACTAATATGCCTGTGATTTATCTGAAACTTACGAAGAAGCTACCATGCTAAAGACAAAACTGCAAGAATAATGCAACATTCATCATTAATTTAATGCCAGAATGGAGTGTCACGGTAGCTGACCCCATTATATGGCTGGCACCACAGAAATATCAAAAAGTGACCTTTACATTGGCATTAGTGGAATAGCTCAAAAACATGCTTGGATAACATTTATTATCTATTAAAAAAGTGCTTTAAGAGAAGCAACACATTTCTAATAAAAATAAAACATGCCATTTAATCCTCTTCAAATGATCTAAAAATTAATACAATTAAGGAGTCACTAAAGGATGTAATATATTCAGGCTTTAAGTAATCATTTGCTTTCACTACAAAGGCTGGTGGGTCAAGAAATTGGAGGAATTTATGAGGACCCATGAAAACATATGGATGAACAACCACAATTCACAATATAAAATTCATTGTGGACAATAAATGATTGGAAAGAATAGTTCAAAAGATCCTATTCATTGAACTTTAAATTACTTGAACAGAAGTGGCTGTTCAACAAGAACACACTGATTTAATGTTTAGCATTCATTAAGGGAAAGAAAGTTTTTGAAAGAAGTGAAAAAGGGAAGGAATAAACTCTTATTGTGCTGTTGCGTAAATCAATGATACATTCACATTTTGTACTGTACATGGTTTTGATCACTTCAAAAGTGATAGAGAGCAAGAAAGCAAAGGATTCAGAGTAATTTTGGCACCAAATTGATTAGGCAGGGGAATAAACAGTCTCCACCAAAGCAAGGCTTTTAAAAAATACAATAACCATTTAATTCTTGTGGTTATATATACAAAAGATACATATATGGGAATACACAGGAATCGTATTACTTCATTTGTTCAAAGCAAAAATGTCTGCCCACAATGAAAAAAGCCACAGGTTATTATATATGTTGTGGTAACTAATAATTACCTTGAAGAACTGAATGCCACGAGGTATTATGCAAGTTTGCTGAGATTTACAAATGGCTTAGAAATGTGTGTGGTTCCAATATCATTGTCCACCTGGGGTAGGATGGCAGGAGCTACCCACTGTGTGCTTACTGGGGATCCTGCCTGTAGCTTGACCCAGAAAGAAACTTTCCACACGACAGCGTTAGTCAATCCTTGTCTGTTATAGTACCAGAAAACTCAAGTGGCAAAATAGCATTTTTGTCTGGACTGTGATTTGTCTGGTAACCTCCTCTTATGCAGAGACATTTATGAATAGGAGGACATTTTCCATCTCGCAATGACCACTTTCAACTGCCTTGGGAATACAACAGAAGCAACTTGCCTCCTCGGCTCTGAAACATCCCTCTGTCACTTACATGACTTTGCAGTGCATTAATGCCCTTTCCATGGCTGTACCAGTGTTGCAAAGGTGTGCCTTGACAATGGGAGATGGTGACTGCGGCTACAGGGACGGTGCTGTGTCTCGAAAGAGACCTCTGCCATGGCAACCAAATGCCACAAAAGCTTTCAGGACTTTCTTCTGCTATTATCCTTTTGTTTTTAGCCAGTCAAAGGGAGCAGAAAAACCTCCAGCAAATTGAGAGAGGTAAATAGAGACAAACATCTGAAATACCTGCCTGTTTTGCATCGAAGCAGCATTGCTGTTTGTAACTGCAGCTGAACTGTGATGCTGTCTGAAGAAAATGGAAAGGGGAAGAAGGGGAGAAAGGATAGCAGTGATTTTTTGTTTGTTTTTTTGTTTTTTGCACTGTATCATATGAGTTGTCATTCAGAAAAAAAGTGTTAGGGATCACAGATCTTTTTATGCTAGAGAGATTCAGATGCCCCATTTCCTATAAAATACCTTCTTAAGGTATATTTACATCTCTTTCATACAGCAGTACATGTTTACAGGTGGAAAGTCCCATCTCCTCAGCTGACATCAATTTTTCTTTAGAAAAACAGAATTTCTAGCCATAATACTTGCCATAGAAAAATTGTCTGCTTATTCAAAGAGCTCAATTGAGCTAGGAAGAGAGACATTTAAACTATAAACACAGCAGTTTAGTTGACAATGTTATTAAGTATTAAGCACAATTTACGTAGGTGTCTAATCAAATAGCAGCCTTGGTCAGCTTTGGAGACTGAAGTAAATTTGGTTATTGTTGGCATTAATTGAATGAGCTGATCAAGTTATATAAAAATCACCCTACAATGCTGAAATCAAACTTAATATGAAAAGTTATTATCACATAGATAGGATGGAGCTGCCAGCTCCATACAGACAATGTGACTGGTATTCTAAACAGCCTGCTGATCTACAGTTACATTTCTGGCTTAAGCAAATCTAGCTATCGTAAATGGCAGCACCCAGTAGGCTTACAGAAGAAGAGTATTTACAGTCTCATGGCCAAAGAGCATCTACTGACATAAAAATGGTAAAAAAGAAAAGTAAAATAGTGTCCATTTTTCTGAGAAAAACTCTTTTATTACTGGTTTTAATGTCAGAATACATAGAAAAGTACTTACTTAATATCTCTATCTTCTTTAAATGCTAACAAAGTATCTCAAAATAGAGGCCTCATTTTCATAAAGTGCTGAGTAGATTAAAAAAAAAAAAAATCAACATGCTGAAGACTTCGCTACTGCCAGAGCTCTGCCTTGTACCAAGGAAGAAAGTTTACTTGAGCTGAGGGCATAGGGCTTTAGGAAGGCTCAGCTGGGAGAAGGGAGAAAAGGCAGGGTGAACCGAAACTACTGATTAAACACTCCTGTGCTGAGAAGAGACAAGGGTGTTTGCATAAGGATTTACTCCAAAAATCACACAGTTGGGAATTTTATGTTAAGGACTTGGATTTGGGAAATGGGATGGACTGTGTTACTGTGTTCACTCCCCTTATAGCACTGTAAAAACCAGTGAATTTTGTCTGCTTTACCTCTGGCTGTTCTGCAAAGGTTTCAAAGAAAAAAAAATCCCTAAGCCCTGACCATTTTATTATTTCCCACTTACAAAAGCATAAAGTAAAATATTTATTCAGAATTAGTGTTTCACTGACAACAGTGTTACTCTGATCAATCAATCACAAGGTTAATAATAGCTGTTAGCTTGTTTTGTGAAAAAAATTCAACTGACAAATGAAGAGGACAATTTTCACGAAAAAGGAGCAGCACGTTAAACTTTCACTGGCTACTTCTGCATCCCTTCTACCTTAATGTGCTCCCGGACATATGTGGTTTGAAGTTATTTACTATCTGGTTTTGCTGAGCTACGAGATGGGAGTTAGAGAAGAGAGGCAGACTAAGAGTGAGAAAGTGTGGACATTTGTATTTGTGTGATATGAACCAGGGTTGTTTGTCACAGTTCTCAGCACAAAGATGTAGGATCCCAAGCCATTATATATCTGCCCTTGAATACCACATCAATGCTCAGTTTCACCAAAAAATGTTTAGACATATCGGAGAGAAATAAAAGTTAGATGAAGGCACAGTGACAGGTGAAAGAGTATATGCATTTTTTAAAGTTTGGAATAAACAAAGAAAATCTTGCATTAGATTTCTGTTATAAGAGAAATTACTATATGTTCAGTGAATCTTGTGATTCTCACTCATGTTTCCAATAAGTTCAATCCACCAACTCAAAAAAAACCCCAAAAACCGAACACTCAAATGAGCAAAGGACAAGAGTCAGTACCTGGATAATGTAAAGAATGATATTCAGAATGGTATTATCAGAGTTCCTAAGAAACTTACAAACTTGATGGCCAGATCCAAAGACAGACTTACACACTGAAGACTTAGGCAGAGCTAAAAGACTTAAATTCAAAACCATGACCAGGTTGGATGAGGTTTTGAGCAACCTGGTCTAGTGGAGGGCATCCCTGCCCATGGCAGGGTGTTGGAAACTAGATGATTTTTAAGGTCCCTTCCAACCCAAACCTTTCTATGACTCTATGATTTTTTAAAATTACTGTGTAGTTGCTTCCATGTGACTTCAACATTATTAATTCCATGCAAACAACACTGATAGAGCACAAAAATAAATTTAAACCCCTGTGATCCAGTCTTACCTTCCTGATGCCTTCAGAAGGGTTCGATACACAATTATCTGCCCCATTATTCTTGCTGATAGTCCTCCACAGTTCAGCAAATGTGTTATCCTGCTCCAAAGGGTTTGTCCCTTTTGCTTTAAAGTATTCATACACTGCTGAATCCCTGACTGTACCATAAGATATATCCATTTGTTTAGACAGATCCTGAAATGTTCTGAAATTCAAGCAATATTGAGATATTAATATTACATAGTACATTACTAAGGTTTCATTCATTAAATGGTTTCTTTCTTTGTCTGTCATTAGTCAGAAAGCACCCTCACCAAATAACATTTGCATATGTCTTTCCTCATCATAAAGAAAACAAAGGAGTAATTTAATTGCATTGAGATCATATGAATTTAACTACATCCAAGCTCTTTTTCAGCCCAGTAAAGATTTTTTTTTGGACAGGTAACATCCATGCTAAATATTATGATGCCAAATTTGCACAAGATGTCGTGCAATAAAGAACTACTTGAGTACAGGAAAAACTCAGATTATAAATATAAACTTCCAGCCTCATCAGCATCACCAGAAATACCTTGCAGAATTCAGTGGAATTAGTTTGCAGTTACACCGATACTCCGTCTGACTCCAAATCAATAAGACTGTTTTAAACAAACAAATAAAAGTCTTGCTTCCAATTTCCACTAGATCTCTCTCCTTCCCTCTCTTTTCACAGCCTCTGGTGAAAGAAGCATTTTTCATTCACACAAACTTTCATTTACTCATCATACCACTCTGGAAGTGTAAATGGGCCCCAACCTGAGTGGCTGTGTAGGCACCATTTATTTTCAAATTGTACAGAATGTAATTCACTCCTGCTTTACAGCCTTTTCTGCACAGAAAGGTGTAAATCACTGCCTGCATCAATGAAAACCAGACCAAGTTTCAAAACATTTAAGGTGTTATCACTGCCATCAGAAGCAGCTTCCTAGCTGTTTTCCACCTTCAGACATTTATTCCCGTTCCTGTGCCCCCTTCCGTTGTCCTCAAGTATCACTTCTGTGCAGTGCCACCATTTTCTTCATCTGAGCATACACACACACAAACAGACATTCAACCCTTCATCATTGCATGTGGCAGCAGGGACCAAACTGTATCTCATAAAAAATGGTTTATTTTATGTTATATAACTTCCCATAATAACAATGACATGCTTCTGATATGACCAACTGACTAACCCTGTTTGAGATCAAACTAAAGCAACCCTCCCTTCCCTTCATCCCCTCATTTCTTTTTCTCAAAAACAATCTTTCAGAAAAAAAAATCCTCCTCAAAACATCTGAAAGGCCCACTCATGTCACCTCCCACCCACCTCCAGCTCCTGAAGCCACAAAAGCAAAACATTTTGCCTTCCAGCTCTTGTGGAAGATTTCTTCACAACGCTCCTGAGGAGCCTCCCCTTTCCCCATGAGCTGAAGATGTTTTCCACAGCTGAAGAATTGTCCTAGACACTATTTTCCCGCCACCCTCTTCCCTGTTTCACTGGGGGGATGCCACTGCTCACACCTCACATCCCTGTCCGAGTCCCTGCAACACTATTTAAACCAATCTGGACATATACACAATACTACATAAAAATACATAGAAAACTCTTCCATCTTCACCATCATGTCACCGCCAGGCCTCCTGAACTTGGCTCCAGAAGAGTCCCTTTGCTGGGACACATGGCGTGAGAGCCTTCCAGCTCTGTTCCCAGGGCAGCAGCCCAGCAGGGATGCTACTCCCACCCCTGCCAAAACTCTTCAAACTCACAAGCTACTTCAAACAGTTTAAGTGGTTTAAGTTCTTAAATTGTGTTAAGGACTTTTTTATCATTTTAAGCTGTTAAGCAGCTTTAAGTAAGACTGTCTGAACAGTTTGCTCTATATACATCGCACTCTTGTGGATTTGGGCTAACTCTGGGAGTTACATCAAACCCCAAACCTCCTGTTATTTCTCCAGCTCTGTATATGGCACTTTGGTAAAGTGCAAAACGAACACCCTGGAGGTTGCTGGAAATTCAAAATTCTAAAAAAAACGTGAGAGAACTCATGTTGGTTTTCTTTCTCTCATTGTTTAACAATCCCAAAAGTTATATTCTGGTCTCATAAGTGTTTTCTGTACACTTCATTGAACAGGACCATTTTTGCTCCAGTCTTGATCTAAACGATTACATGCTACATTTAGTTCCTCCTTTGTTTTTAAGTTTCATCATATCCCATGGAATTGCTTACATCCTGGGGATGGATGATCTGGCTATTATGACACCTTTCCATCTATGTGATGTACAAATCGCTAAGAAAGGTACCCAGTGCACACCCAGGAGGGTTTCTGTGGCAACCTTTTTCACACGAGGTTTGGTATATGGATATCGCTGTGTGTAGGAGTGTGTGTTTAGCAGAATCACAGTAGCAGAAACATGTTTAGCTAATGTGCTTTAACACAACTTTCAGCTGATAGCAACTTTACAAATGCCTACTGCTCATGCTGCCGTTCTGTTTGAAAATTTGAACACAAGAGTTTAGATACTAAAAAAAAAATAATAAACCTCCAGTTTTAACTACTGCTGTGGAAGCTTTTTCTCAGAAAGATGCCTTTTGTTTTAACTAAAGTGTACTTTATTGACAATTGGTACTTTTATTTTAGCTAAATTTTCTTGGCAATCAGTACTGTGCAAAAGCACAGTACATCTTGCCTTTTGAGCAGCACAGTTTCTTCAATTCTCTAAACATCGCAGTGCACAGTGAGCACATTCACAGTTTAAGTCAAGTGCTTTGCTGGCCCAATAAGCAGATAATCAGTACCGGTGGCGGGGAGGGAAGCACAGCCTTTGACTGGATGTGGTTAGTAAGGCAACTACTACCCCATTAGCTGGCACAATTTCCTTAGAAGAGATAACGTGGAGTATTGAGTATCCTAAGGATTACTTCTGCCTTTCTCGCAGTGCCCTGTTTGATGTATTATGAGAACAGCTACTGGTACAGGGAATTCTCCATACCGTAACACCCCTGAAAATACGCTGTGAGAGAGAAAGATGGTCACCAAAGGACACAGCCAGGGTAGGACACAAGTCACAGTAGGCAACCAAGCTTGCGAGTGTTTCCTGTAGCATAAATTCAGAAGGATGGTGACTGAGTGAGAAAATAACCTTATGCCTTTACCAAATGGACCACTTAGCCAAAAACCTATCTCAGAAATTATCCTGACAGGGAATGGTCTAGACCACGGTTCTTACTTGGTATAAAAAATGTCTCTGTACTGTATTTCTGCACTGAAAGCAGAGGTGATGCTCAGCATCTCCATGGCCAGAGAGGTGATCAGAAGATCTGGGCATGGCAGGTACGGTCACACACAAAAGATACTGAACAGAGATTAGCATCTCCTGGCTTTTACAGGACGGACTAAGATAATAATGAATACAGGTTTTAACCATTGCTATTTTAATTCGTTCAGTTCTGCCATTACTAGACAAAGTCATTCACTGCCACATTTCAGATACTGGTTGCATCTTACAATTGTTTCATTCTCTAAAGGCAGCTGTTCTTATAGCTCTCAGACTTTATTTGTGCAACCAGCCATTAGCTGGACCCAGCTTCTTTAGCCATGCAAATTCTCATCTCCCTTTCCTATGGCAAAGATTTCATGCATTTAATATATAAAATTATTTGCAACAAAAATGTGTAACATAACAAGATGCCCCATTAACCTTAGCACCTCAATTACTGGATCTCACAACCCATTAAGGACTCTATGCAAGTGTGATTAGAGATAAAGCTAGTAAAGCAGAAAAAGCCAATGTTCCTCACTTACAGTTATAGGAGCTGAACTTCAATTTGTAGATAAATACATCCACTGTACGATTGCTATAATAGGCAAGTACATGTAAACTAGTTGAATTAAGTAAATATAGCTATGGCCAATCCAAAAATGGTACCTTTTAAAACTGTATTACCAGCCAAAATATTTAACTTGTGTTGTTATACCTGCTAGATAAATGACACAATTGATATATAATTTCCAGTGGAGCTGCAATTATTTCATGTAAAGTCAATTGAAAACTGGACTCTCTGCTCGTTTTGTTTTTCAGAAACATATTGACATAAACCATATGCTGCAGAATAAACAGTCAGGCAATAGCTGTACTAGCATGTATAATTAGACCTCTAGAAATAATTGCCAGAATGACAATATTGGTTAGCTTTGATTTTTTGGAGATGCTTTCTTATTAGTAAAAAATTTGTGTAGCTGTAGACATCTAGACTAAAAATGTGCTATCAGCATAGGTTCATTTTAGTCTGAAACTGCTATAAACCCAAGACTTTCGGGATGAATAATATGAACAAATCTGTTCTAAGTGACAGACTAAACCTGTCACTAGGTGCTTTGAAGTAACTGAAGACCAATTAACTCAACTGGAGTCATCAGGATCATCAGATGTGATCAAAGTATTAAAAAAAAAAACAACCAAAAACCAGTATCTCCTGGTTTCTTTTTTTTTACATTTTCTTTCTTTTCATGGCAACTTTACCTTTTATTATTCTTTAATTTAAAGGTGGTCTTTAAACAAAGGAACAAGAAAAAAGGCAAAAAATACTTGCTTTTTTTTCCTCATCCTTACCATTCATTTTTTAAAAAGTTTGTAGCAAGCTGCACATCTGGACTCCTGTGTGTAAACTGTAAACAAGTCAATTGACTGTCGACATAGTGTCATGCCGTATGGGGCTTTTACACTACAGTAATAACTGTAGCATTTTATCTTGACTTCAGCCTTAGGAAAACCATAATGGGAAAATCCTGACAGCTCCTTGATTTAGAGGTACTTTCTCATTAGCATTCATAACTGCCGTGTTCTGACCCTGTAAAACTGGTGATTTTTCCAGTCTGCTCTTACTTGTGGGAAAGTAATATTTCAGCAGCTTCAGAATCCACAGTATTATATAAAAATGATGCAAGATTTTCCCTGTTTAGTTCCTGTTCATTCATCTGCTTCTATACCATCAGGAATAATAAAGTGTGAGGTTAGGCACAGAAGTAGCGATCAGCTCTCTACCTTCCTTCTGCATTGTGAGTACACTCCAGGATAACTTCTCCCTTCACAGCACTACGTATGTTTTGTCAAACAATACAATATAAATAATTCCTCTCAGCTAAAATTAATTAATTTTTTAAATTAATATTAATCTCTAA